AAGAGGAAAGATCTCTTTCCCATCATGGGGCAAGGCAACAAATAAACAAGAAAAATCAGTAAAATATGCTGTGTGTGAAATGGGGATGAGTGATACTAATTGTTGAATGGGGACAATTCTAGATATGTTGCCCAGGGGAGGCCTCACTGAGTAGTGATGTTTAAATAAAACCTGAAGGGAGTGAGGGGTGAGTCATGGAGACAGCTGGGCGCAAGCATGTCGGGCTAGGAGAGCTAGTGCAAAAGCCCCGAGGAAGAGGCAGCCTGTTTGGAGCAGGAGAAAAGACAGAAGATGAGGTCAGAAATGTAAGGGGACGAGAGATCAGGTAAGGCCTTATGAGCCCTGTGAGGATTTGGGCATGTACTATTAGGGAAATGGGGATTTAATGGGAAATTTGAGCAGAGAGCCATAAACATATTCTTTTAATAGGATCACTGGCTGCTGAGACAGAAGCAGGGAAATGAGTAAGAGACACCTGCAATGACACAGGCAAGAGATGAAGGACAGTTGGAGGCAGCTGAGATATGTGGTAGGATTCTGCATACTCCTTGCTCATGGGTAGCATGGAGTAGGAATGAAAGAAGGTGTCAATGATGACGGATAGTTTTGCTTCAGATCTTCATTGAGCACTAACAGCTTCCAAATCTATGCTTCTGACCCAGACTCCTTCCTGCCCTGGGGCCTGGCACACAGCAGGGAACTAACATTAACATTTGGTGGACTGAAATGAAAAAAAGTAGATGAGTCTGTTTGGTTGGTGGCACAATTTTTCCAGGCCTCTACCCATGTATAGTCTACCAGCAGATACTGGAGGGAGGTACAGAAAAAAGAGCTGCCATGTCCCCATCTTGGTCTAAAGGGAGAAGTTGAGAGAGGGCAGAAACTGAAACAGGGCCATACCGAATCCTTCCAGTAAGAAAACCAGGGAGGGGAGGGGAGGAGGTGGGAGGGGGACACAAAAATTAAAAAATGCCAAGAATGATTGATGGACATAGTGTTGGGTTTGTGATGTCAAGAGATTGGGTGCCAATCCCAGCTCTTAACTCAATCTCTTCCCTTCACGGCTCCCAGTGTTCCTTCTAAAAACAGAGAGGCGGGCGCTCTGAAAAGAGAGTCTGTCCAGCTGTAACCCTCCCAGTGCTGGGATCCTTTTCCTGCAAGGCCCTGTCTCCTCTAATCACCTGACACACTACTTCTCCAACATTGTCCTTAGGAAACTTTTCTGTTTCCTTTCAGAATGATGACTCTGACTCTGAGTCTAGTGAGATGTGTCTCTACTAGTTCCCAAAGAAAAACACCCATGTCTTTTTTGCCTGCTTAAAGTAAATACCACCTTAGGCCTGTTACCCATCTATAAACTGGGAATACACACCAGATTGCTGGGATGCTGAGTAGGGTTAATTACATACAGACTGTGTAGGGGTTAAGCAGATACACAAGTGTGCTGGAAGTTCTTGGCATAATACTATAGTATTACAATAATTTTGGCTTGCAAATTACACCCCAGCCAAGGTATCACATGGAAAAGTGGGTCTGATCCCATGGCCTGCTGAAAGTGAAATGAAAAAATAAGTTGTGAAATATAACGTTTCTTCCTAACCCTTTGAAAAAGGCAGAGACAACGCTTCCATGTGCAACCCACATGCAGGAAACAAATCTCCAGATCCTGGAGAGGACTCTCTTGTCCCGGGTCACCTGGCCTGTTGCCAGGATCTGCTGATCTTCCTTCCTGAGCCTAGAAGCAGAGATGGGAGGGGAGGGAGGGAGCCAGAGAAGATTTGTGGTTGGTTGAAAGGTGGGACTTAAATGAGAATGTCCTCCAGTTTTTCTATTCAGGCCTCCCTTACTTGCAGGATAATTAAGTGCTTACAGAGCAGCAGAATGACTTAAAATGTAATTTGAGATATTTAAGTCTAGGAATACTCAAAATAAACATCTTAGCCCAGGTCAACTTCTGGGTCCTTCCACCATCCCCTAGACCAGGGGTGGGCAAACTTTTTGACTCGAGGGCCACAATGGGTTCTTAAACTGGACCGGAGGGCCGGAACAAAAGCATGGATGGAGTGTTTGTGTGAACTAATATAAATTCAAAGTAAACATCATTACATAAAAGGGTACGGTCTTTTTTTTTTTTTTAGTTTTATTCATTTCAAACGGGCTGGATCCAGCCCGCGGGCCGTAGTTTGCCCACGGCTGCCCTAGACCCATGGTTGGCAAACCGCGGCTCTCGAGCTACATGCGGCTCTTTGGCCCCTTCAGTGTGGCTCTTCGACAAAATACCATGTGCAGGCGCGCACGTACAGTTCGATTGAAACTTCGTGGCCTATGTGCAGAAGTCGGTATTTTGTGGAAGAGCAGGTATTTTGTGCAAAAGCCACACTGAAGGGGCCAAAGAGCCGCATGTGGCTCCCGAGCCGTGGTTTGTCAAGCCGCAGTTTGCCGACCACTGCCCTAGACACATCACACACACACACACACACACACACACACACACACACACGACAATGAATGGGTTGTATAGATGGCAATGGTGTCTGTAATTGTGTGGGTCTGAAACATTTTACTGGATTATAGAAGATGACAGTGCAATCTGACCAAAGAGGGCACGAGCAAATAACTTGATCCGGGAAGGACAATTTGCAGTCTATGCCATGGCTTCATTGTGTGCAGCTGAGTGGACAGAGCAAATGATTCGGAGAAAGACCCAAGTCTGAGTCCCAGTTCTGCCACTTTGCAACTGTGGCCTCAGGAAGAGTAAGTAGAGGAACAGTAAACAGCTGTGGATCCCTTCCTGTCCAGCCTCAGAGTTTGACCTCCACCTCTAGTGTGGCCAGGGCTGTGTCCTGGCCAAAAAAGCCTCTGGTCTTGTTGCTAGGACAAAGGAAAAAAAGAGACTCTCCCGATGCCCAACTATAATATACAGGTAGCAAGTTGAGATTTTTAAAAATCTGTGCTGTAAGATTTCTTAGAGAATTTCTCAGGTTTCAGTTCTCAGACCTTAAGGTAAGTCAAATTCTGGGGCTTGCCCAGCCAAATTCAAAGGAACACCAGCTCTAGGGGCAGTGACCTCATTTCCAGGCAGTTCTAGTCCCTACCTGGAGCATGTCGCTGCCCTGAAAAGCAAGCTGGGCCCCTCCCTCTGCCTCAGTTTCCTCCTTTTTTTATTAATAATCAAAGGACGATCTTAAGTTGCAAAGTAGAGATTAGTGTAAATGACATCATTTCGGAGCCCCCAGAAGGGAGAACTGGCGCCCAGCGTACCTGGGTGACTTTCTCCGGGCCTCAGTTTCTCCATCTGCAAAACGAGGACCCTGGATTAAATGGAGTCTTGTCAGCTCTTACAATTTGGGCATTAAACATTCCCATAGCTTCCTCTGCCAGGTAGGCCGTGAACAGGGTTAAAACCGCGACTACCTCAGAGGTGAAAAGGTAAGCAAACATTCCGACCTGTCCTTAGCCCGGCCCTCGGATTGGCGCAGGGCAGTGCCCCCGCCGCCTCCCCCGGCCGCAGCCGTCAGCCGGATAGCTAATACGCTCATTAGCATAGATTACTCCGAAGATCCGGCCGGCACACCTGGCCGGAACCGGAGTCTCCGTCCCTGTAAGAAGGGGGTAGCCGCTCGGTCCCTAAGGGGTCTCTGCACCCCATTTCCTCCGGCGGGTCGCGCTGTAAACTAGAAATGTTCCCCGTTAATCCATCTTTGCACCCTACCCAACAGTGGGGACGCCTGGGGTACACAGCACGCGGGTCCCCGGGGAGGCGGACGGGTTTGGTCTCCGAGCGTTGCGGGCTCAGGATGGCTACCTCTCGCCTCAGGCGGCGGCGGGCGGAAAACCTGGCGGGGCGGGCAGCGCCGCGGGACCTCGGCGCCCTCAGGCCTGGAGCCCCGAGCTGGCGCCGAGGCGACCGCGGGAGGTGGCGAGTGCCGAGGGGGAGAGGTGCGCCTGCGGAGACCCGGGCGCCAGGGGGCGGGCTTGGGCCAAGGTCTGGCGGCCGGCTTCCGGGGGGAAGGGACGGGGTCTGCCGGGCGGGCTGGG